GTTCCAAAATAGTATTTAATACCATATTCAAAATAATCCAAGAAGGATATTTATAACTCCAAAATATATATGTAAATTTTCATACCAAATTATACATTTAAAAATATATAATTTATCCCAAAAGATTTGATCTCACAACACTTACCAAAAAGAGGGTTTAACCCAAACAACCACTTTCCAAAAGTAGCATTTACTACTACCACCAAAATAATCAAATTGGAGTATTCTGAACCCATAATATATTTTCAATATAACCAGTTATAATATTCTCAAATCATTCTTCAACTCATACCAAAACAATCACCAAAATTTTCCAATCCCAAAAGAACAATCATCAATAATCACAATTTTAGCCATGACAAACTGATTTGATAAATTCACCAAAAATCACACGTTCATCAATTCCCAGAAAAGCATACATCATCATACTCATACTATTATAGCCGAATTATCCATAAAATTTCAGAAAGAAACTCAAATCATAGCACAAACCCTAGTTTATACAATACAGAGGCAAAATAGTAATTTTGGTTGCAATAGTCCTTACCTCGAGGCTAGCAACGAATCCTAAACGTCAAACCTAGTTTGATGGATCATTCTCACGTACCTAGGAAGTGATAGGTTCGAAGGATCTCAATTTAGGAGAAAGAAATTTAGAAAACGGATGAACGATGCGAATTAGGCAACAAACGCACTTACCGGAATATTGGATTGTTTGATCTCATCATTGACATAAAATTTCGTGCTGGATACGTTAATATTGAAGAGCTGGAAGGGATAGAGCTTGAAGAGGCGGTCCTAGGGTTTTTGGAATGAGGAAAATCGGATTAGGGATGTATTTATAGTGAATTTCCGAAGTTTGAGTTGCATTAGGATACAACATGAACGCACGCGTGCATACCTTCCACACACGCCGTGCGTACCTTCCACACACGCCGTGCGTGACCCCCAGACGCCCCAAACCTTAGTTTTGCCCCGTCTCTTCCCCATTTGGACATCCCCTTTGTCCCAAACACTAAACCAAACATAATAAACGACCTAAAGACTGTGTAAACAATATGAAACACAATTTTAATTATTTCCCAAATTCTCTCAAATTTTCGGGGTATTACAGTATCTAATATCAGAGGAATGTACAATTTAGTAGGACGAACATATTGGATTGGTTAATAGACTCGAATTGTACCAGAATGAATTAACTCGAACTAAAATTAAGAAAAATAGAATAAAATCGAATTGAACTAAAGACATTAAATAAAACAAAATTACAAAATTAAGTATACAATACCAGTTAAGACCTTAACCCCCCCCCCCCCCCCCCCCCCCCCCCAAAAAAAAAAAAAAATCAAATTGGCTTTTACAAGACAATGTAAAACTGCATAACAAAATTTTCAAGGATACAACACTCCTATGTTTGACATCTTGAAACTTAAGATCGATCTCATTACATTAGAGATTTCCGTAAGTTCGTGTCATTCTATTTGGAATTTAATTTACCGGTCAAAATTAATGAAAAGAATAGTTTATATCGATCAAATTTGATACACACCTCAAGTACTTCATGATCTGTTTAACAAAAGAGGGAAGCGATTTGATTTTATGCTCCTTCGTCAAATAAAGTACAAAAACAGATTCATAAAACTTGGTAAACCATTTTCAAAAAGATTAACAGACCCCTTTTAAAAAGTGTGTATCTGTATCGTCAGTCTCAAAACATGTTAGCTATCAACATGCAAGATAAAACAAGCACAAAGGTTATTACATGATCAAGAAGAAGATAATACAAGTAAGAAATATATCAGTAAATATGAAATAGCAAACCCACGAGTCATAAGCATCTGCTAGGTCCGATTATTGGTGGAGAACACACCCGGTTAGGATGCAGACCAGAACGGCGTCCATGGAGTTCTATTCACAAGCCATGAAGCGAATCCATTGAAAAAATTTGGTCGGATATTGCTATGGTACACGATTTTGATGAACTTTGTGGCAGACCTAAAACGGAAGAGGGGTGGCTTTAGATGGGCGTACAGATAATGGAAGCGGCGGATTGTTAACGTGATGTTTTTATACTCCGAATTAGGGCTGGATTCGGTTGGCATCAAGTATATGTGCATAAATTGGGTTGGGTCTGCTGAACATGTCCGAAATATGTAAGGCCTTTCTTAAAATCTGAATCGGGTATCATTTTTTAATGTAGTAAGGAATGTATTACTTTATTTTTTACTTTTCATAAAATTTTAATAAGATTATAATATGATAATTATATCTTCTATCTATGTATGACCCTGCGTGAGTACGGTTTCAATTCGTTTTCTATGTTCATGCTTTAGATTTTTTTTTTGTAAATATTAATATTATAAATATTAATATTATAAATATTAATATTGTCATTTAGTGTTTTACCTTAAACGTTGATTTTAAATCTCATTTGGTACTATTCAAACCGGTTGTTCTTGCTTATTCTGGGTAAATTTATGAAATTGAGACTGAAGTGGCTTGATTGGTTAATCTGCTGATTTATGAAAATATTATATTTAAATGACTTATTAATAAAATAAAGATAAAATATATAAAAAATCTAAAATGATCATCTACATTAACTTTGGCCAATTTAGGGCCTGTCGATACTAATGAAAAATCTCCTATATATTCATAGATCTGCGCCCGCCTTTATACAGTTAGATACTAAATTATCTATTTTTGAAACAAGAATTAAAGTAGTAGATCTTTGAGACCCCTATAGTTGTGGAGGAAAAATCGGACTATTCGGGGGAGCTGGAGTGGGGAAAACAGTACTCATTATGGAATTAATTATCAATATTGTCAAAGCGCACGAAGGAGTATCCGTATTTGGCGGAATGGGTGAACGTACTCGCGAAGGAAATGATATTTATGTGGAAATGAAAGAATCCCGAGTAATTAATGACCAAAATATTGCAGAATCCAAAGTGGCCCTATTTCTATGTATATGTGTATTTCTCTCTATATATACACAGTATATAATTTTGAAAGCATGAGAAGAAAATCATTTTCCAGATCATATTCACAATTGAGGACATAGATGAAAACTGATAGGTAGGGACCGTAAGGTGAGCGTGTGTGTGATAGCCATTTAAAAAATTATACATTTTAATAAGATCAAACTGATATTTTGGAATATTATGAGACTGTTTTACCTTTTAAAACTTAAGAAGTATTATCATTAGTTAATTATTATGAAATAACTACTATACCTTTTTTTTTAATTTTATATACAATTATATGTTTATTAATATTAAATGGTTGAGCAGTTTTATGACATTGACCGGGTTGACCCAACCGGATCCGGGTTGGGATCCGTGGCCCGATCGTGTGGACAGGTCGCTTCCCGGTCCGGTTTCTTAAACGTAGAGACATATACTAGACCTGGGTCACCTGGCCAGTTCATACTAAACTCAAACAGGCCAGACCATAACATTTCACACCAATTAAAAACACCTTAAATGTGAAATATATATCTTAAGTCTTGAAGATTATATCAAGATCAAATCAATTCAGATGATTATATTATAATTCATGTTATAAGTAGCAGAGGTTTGAAAAAAAATGAGTTACAATGAAGATGATAAATAAATATACCACAATATTAATGTTATTTATAAGCTCATTGTAATATTTTTCTACTTCTTCTAAGATTATCTAAGTTTTGGAAGTCTAATAATTACTGATGAGTATATGGGTCCAGACCCCATGACCCACATACTCAGAAGAATAAGAGGAGGCACAGCTGTCACCCAGTGGGTCCTCCGTCGGCCAGATGGCCCTCCATCGGCCAGAAACACATCAACCTAGAATATGATCCAGAGGCCAGGAGAATCGGGGTGTCCCCCGTCGGCCGGGTCTCCGTCAGCCAGACCCCCGTCGGCCACAGGGAGCTCATAGAGCCAGATCTCGCACTTAGCCAGTTTACATACTTTGTATTCGGCCCAATAGAGGCCTCATTGTAATTGGCCTCCCAAGCCCAAGACTTGGGAGCCCAATCCACATTTTCTCTATAAATCCCTTGGGAGTAGTTGTAGGGGTGGACAAAATTCATTTATTGCAGTATTCATTGCATTTCTCTCTCTAGGTCTCACCTCTCTCTAGGAGTTAATACTCTATCAATTACTACACACAACTTTTACTACATATTACTCACTCCGTCTCGCTAAGATTGTTCCATTTTTTGTTTCTGAGAAATCTTACTTAGATTATCTCATATCAAATTTGGTAAAATTCGTGTTGTTTTATACTACCTCTGGTCCCAAAACAAATTCACACTCACTATTCATTAGTCAAGTTAGATCACTCTAAATCTTTTACTTTATATATCAATTTTTTTATCAAATTTAAATTTTCTTGATCAGACTTTGTAGCGGTTTCAATGTAGTTTCTGAATATGTAATTTTTATTTACTAAAAATAATCCGAGCGTGAACAGGTATCGAGTTGCTTTATCGTCAGTCAAGCATCGTAAGCCGTGAGTGAACTTCTTTTGGGACCGGAGGGAGTATTATTTTTACTTTATTCTTACTTTATCAATTCAAAATAAACAACATAAACTCACTTTGCTTAATAACTGTGTCACTCCCTCATGTTCCGATGTTAGTGAGACGGATGTATTTTTTTGCAGCATGGATGTAGTACTTTTTATTCTCTTTTAATGCATTTATCCATCCTATTTACATAAAAGATTTCATTAACTGATATTATAAACAAATTCTTGATATAAATTTTATTTAATTTTGTTCCGTGCATCGCACGGGTGAGAATCTAGTAAAAATAAATCCAATTCGTTTTTAGGTGAGAAAAACAAACCCAATTCTTATTTTAAGGATATTTTTACTTGGACTGTAATTCGTCCCAGTCCAGACCAGACCAGATAAGATCAGACCAGACCAGACCAGTTCAGACCAGACCAGACCAGACCTGGATAGTTATAAATATTAAATATACAAAGAAACCAGATCAGACCAGACCAGCTGAGACCAGAGCAGATGAGACCAGACCTCGTAACTTCCTGATGGCCGGTATTGGTATGCAGAACTATATGGAATGAGGCGAGCGCTGAGATGATGCTGGCGACCAATTCAAACTCACTTTCTCCTCTTCTTGCTCAAAACCCTGGACCTTCTGCTGCCAGTGTTCGCAAAGTTTCGAACCTCATTTTCAGGGCTCTCTCAAATTCAACGGCTTCTAATTGTAGGCCCGAACCAATTTATGACCACCGGCTCAATAACTACTCCGGCATTAGACTAGAGGAATCGGTAAAAACCAATTCTAGGAAGCTCAGGCTTGATTCTTGGATATCTTCCCGCATTGATGGGGTCAGCAGAGCTCGAGTTCAGTCCAGCATTCGGTCTAGGCTAGTCTCTGTTAATGGCCGTATAATCGATAAGGTTGTTGTTTGTTGTTTTTATTTTGATATCCAGAAGCGTTTCTGAGAAGAGTTATGATAAACTGGCTGATTTTAATTTCACCAAACTATAAAAAAATGATTTTTGGTGTGAATTAAAGAAATGTTAGTCCTGTTACCTTTGGTTTGTTCCCCATCGCAGTGTGGATTCATATCTGATTTGTCTGACTTTTAAAGGATTTTAATGTGTTGTAGGTTTCACATGCTGTTAAAAGCGGGGATAAAGTTAGTTGTACTATTGCTGAATTGCTGCCATTGAGGGCAGAAGCAGAAGATATCCCACTGGACATTGTTTATGAAGATGACCATGTCCTTGTTATTAACAAGCCTGCACAAATGGTGAGTTATGTCTCAAACTCCTCTTTTTCATCCAAAATAAGCCACATAGCATAAATTTAGTTAAGTCAACAAATAAATTTTAAAAGTCTAAGCAGGACTCATGATTATGGAACTTGCACACTAACCGAATCAAAGGTTGTACCCCTGTCAAATGTGACGCTTCTATGGGGGCACAGAGTTAGCACACAAGTTTGTGTGGGTAATGATTTATTTTGAAGTTTCTGTGTTGCTTATATTGAGTTTGTGAAGACAAACTTTCTTGTGAGAGTTGCTTCCTATTCTCAACTGCATCAACAATACCAAGGCCGCATATAAGGTTTTGGGGGCCTAGGTCAAAAACATTAAGATGCTGTTATATACTTCCCCCGTTTCTTAAAAGTTGCAACATTAGGATATTTGCACTATTCACACACCTTACTTTGACCATAATTTTCTATTAATATATAAAATCAAATTATTATGTATAAAATGTCATTAAATTTCTATTGATGTGAATTTTCAAAATATTAACTTTTTATAATTTTTACTAATACGTAATTAGATATAATTAAAGTCAAAGTTGTGCGTTGGCAAACGTGAAAGTCAAACTGTTGCAACTATTAAAGAACGGAGGAAGTACTTTAAAACACGTCTTATTAAACCAAACCAAACCAAACCAATCGAAACAAAACCCATATGCCAATTATCTTCTTCCAAAACTTCCCTTTTTTCCTCTTAGAATGGGATCTTCATGGATTTATTCTGCTGGATTTTTGAGCTGTTAAATCTTTTCGTGTTGTTTTATAGACAAAACATAAATCCCAACACAAAGAAACGAAGGACGGAATTCCAAAAATAATCATAAAAATAAATCTGACTAAATTTAGAAATACTTTTTCTAGTGAACCTGAAATGTTGAATCAGTAATAAGGTTCAGTCAAATTCTGTACCAGATATTTGTTATAGTTACTGATTCAGCAGACTACTTTCGCTGCATGCATGACACAAGGTTGTTCATCCAGCACCCGGCAATGCTACTGGGACACTTGTAAATGGAATTCTTCATCATTGTAGCTTTCCCATAGGGTCATTCCCCATTCAGGAAGGGCTTTCTGATGATGAGTTGAGTGCCTTTTCTGCCGAGAAAGAGTATGTTGGGGATGATTGTTCTGCCACGGGAGAGGCATCTATTCGTCCAGGAATAGTGCACAGATTGGACAAGGGAACAAGTGGATTACTTGTTGTAGCCAAGGTGAATATTTGGTAATTCAATCCATTTCCCCATTGTATGTTTGTGGTAGTACTGAAAAAAGAACCTCCAGACCAAAACCCGTCCAACCTTATGCGCTTTGGCTACTGATTTACAATGTATGCTATGTTGTTGTTTGTTGAATGATTGATTTCTTTTCATTTTTATATTTCTTATGTTTTTTTATCTTTTTATCTTTTTTGTCTTATATTATGTATTTTTATCCTTTTTATTTTATGACGTTTATCTTTATCTTATGTTTCTTATCTTTTTATCTTTTTTATCCTATCTTATCTTTTTATCTTTCTTATATTTTTCTTATCTTTTTGTCCCTTTTAGCTCCAATTTCATATGTTGATTCATGTCAGACGACCCCAAACTCTTTTGGGACTAAGGCTTGGATGTTGTTGTTGTTGTTATATTAGACTGATTGATTTGATTTTAGAGGGAAATAAAGTGATAATGTTAAAAAGTTTTGATGTTAACCTTCATAACATACACATAATCGATTTATAAGGTAAATAGGACAATGATCTAACTTTTGTAATGAATAATGAACTTTCCTTCCATTCAGAGTGAAAAAAATGGATGAAAAATAAGGCTTATTTCCGTTTCTCTTTATATATTCTCTTTCTTCCCAAACAAAGTAAGATGTCTTTCTCCACAATTTTTCTCATTATTTTCTTTCTTCCTAAATATAGGGTTAAGGTTCAGACTTTGAAAACTGACTGAAACTGATAAAACTGAAACCTACCAAAACTGAGCAGTGGACACCCCTAGATGTTGTAGTCAGTCCATGCAACTTTCGACGCAATTTTCACTATGGGTCATCCGGAAACAGTTTCTTTGTGCTTTAGTACAGGGGTAAGACTGCGTACATCCGACCCCCTTACCCCACCGTAGGTGGGAGCCTTTGCGGCACTGGGGTAATGATGATGATGATGAGGCATTTGATATTCAGAACTTACAGGACGAGCATTCCCACGCCCATCTGGCAGAGCAGTTCAAGAATCATAGCATTAAGAGAGTCTATGTTGCTCTAACTTGTGGAATGCCAACATCTGCTTCGGGACGCTGTGATATCCCAATAGGTCGTGATCCATACAACAGACTTCGCATGGCTGCTGGCCATGGTTTGAGCAAAAATGGGAAAACTCGTCATGCTGCTAGCAGGTGAAATAGTCATTCTCCTTATGTGCCTTAGAGAAGGATGAGTCTAAGATTCCATATGACAAAACTGATTTCGTTGATATAATAAAACTCATAACTTTCAACTTTATTTTTTCTGAAGGGTATTACAATTCCTATATAAAGAAATAATGGGTCCAAACTGAACAGAAATAGGAAACCTAGAGTTTCTAAATCTAGAGTTACTTATGCTTCTGTATTTTCAATATTTAAAATTTCACAAAAGAAAACATGCGTATGCCATATTTGCACCCTGGAAAATGGTAGAGAAAGGTATAAAATGATAAGGAAAAGGAATTTTTATGTTTTTTTAGAATAGAAGGAATAGAACATACGATTAACCTTTAAAGTTTAAACATTTATATATTTAGAATTTTCTGCGTAATATAAATTGGTTTATTGAATTTGAACCAAGTTTCTACTTTCATCCTAATTTTCTTTCCTTTCAAGTTTCCTTTCTTTTTCGCTTTACTACCTCCTTCCCACTCAACTTTGCCAACTTTATGTTGGGTGTGAAATTAGAATAGTAAAAACTGTGTGGTTGAGGTTTGTGTAGAGGAGAGAAAAATGAACAGAGCCACAAATTCATTGCTTTAAAAGGAAAGTGTCAAAGTTTTTCGGGACAAACAAAAAAGGAAAGTTGGCAAAGTCCAGTGGGACGGAGGGAGTATTATCTTTCCCTAGCATTTTGCAGTTGCTAAACAGACCCATTGAGTCAGAAAGGAAGGATGTAGGGTGACCCCAGCCCCATATACCCTTTTTCTTTGTTAAGCATGTCATTTGTGCTATAGATGTATACCAAAAATTTGATAACTTTCAGATACAAAGTGATTGAAATACTTGCTGGTGGTGGTTCTGCTTTGCTTGAATGGAGGTTAGAAACTGGACGCACACATCAGGTGTAAATTATTAGTATATCCTTTTACATATAAATGAGTTAATGTTTCTTGTTCCCTGTATCTCAGCAGTCTTCAGTTTTCACAATTTACGTTTTTTTTCCCGCTTGGTTTAAGCATCTTCAAGGCTTATATTGACAAAAAGTATCTAGATTAGTTCATTGGGATAATGATTCTTGTTGCATTACATACACATCTATTTAGGAAGCTAGCTTACTAATTATTGGGATTGAGTCTCGTACATATATGTCAAGTCCCATTTCCTATGTGCCCTTTGGGATGAGTTAGTCCCAATTTAACATGGTATCAAACCTTAGTCTTGTGGTGATATGTGAGGTGTCCAAGAACGGTTTGGGGCATCTGTTCAGTTTGTGCCCGTTTGTCCACCCCTTCCGTTGTCGGGTGTGATCGGAGTTATAGGGTTTGGTTTGAGTATCACACACCAATTGTCAATTGGGTTTTAGGGTTTGGGCACACTATATGGGAGTAAATTTGGGCTGTCCACCACTTCAGTCATTCAATCTGATTTGGACTGATGGTTGTGTTCAGTAGCCCACACGCGTTGTTTACGGGCTGTGTGAGGTAAATGTCATATTTTGATGACCATTTCAGAAGGTGAATTTGGTTCAACTTAACACTTATCTTCAAATTAGTCATTTCATTTCATTTTCATTTACCCCAGTGCCGCAAAGGCTCCCACCTACGGTGGGGTAAGGGGGAGTCGGATGTACGCAGTCTTACCCCTGTACTAAAGCACAGAGAGACTGTTTCCGGATGACCCATAGTGAAAATCGTGTCCAAAATTGCATGGACTGACCGCTGCTCCATAACAAAGAAGCGTAGACAGTTTAGTGAGTCATTTTGCTTTATTCCATCATAATCTCAAGCCAAAAAAATGAATCTTTGGCTCCATTGCAAATGATGGAAATATCTTCAAATTAGTGTTTTTCCAAAATCAGATCCGAGCACATGCGAAGTACCTCGGCATCCCCCTGCTAGGTGATGATGTTTATGGAGGAACAAAGAGCATGGCCCTCTCACTACTTCAGCGCCATAGCTCTTCTGAGTTTCATGGGAAACTTCTGCAACTAGTCTCTGGTTTGGAAAGACCTTGTCTCCATGCTTTAACTATTGGGTGAGTTTTCATATATTTGGGAGTTGGGACATTGTCTTTTATTTTCAGAAGTGTATAAGTCTACTACAGTTATCATTGTGTTTCTCGTTTTCTTTTGTCACATACAAAGGTTTACACATCCAAAAACGGAGGAGAGGGTACACTTCACTCAGCTGCCACCAGCTGATTTTGCTGAGGTTTTAACTGAACTCCGAACCATCAATGCCGAGAAGGTATTCATGATATGTTCTCAAAGTAGATATATACTCCGTACTTTCAGGAAGAAAAGAAGTCCATTTAGCACTCCTTTCCAAGAAGAGCTCTTCAGAGAAAACTTCAAGCTGGAGCCTGTTATAAAAGAGAACATCTAGAAGCTAAAAACCTGTTTGGCTCAAACTGATTTTTTCTAGTGTAGTGAATAAGATCCAATAGGTTACATGCCAAAACTAGTAGTTATTGCTCTTTAAATGGTTTTTGACTTTTTCTCCAGGTGTCTTGAGTGGATTATTCTTGTCAATCTTGTGAGGAAGTGAAATATTCGCACTATGAGACTCCTCATCAAAACCACATTCATCAACGAAGATGAGGGAGAGAGGGACAGATGCTATTGGCGCATTGCGTTATTTTTTGGATGACTTGATTATATCGGCTGCGACGGAGGTGGTTTTGATTGTTTTTTTTTTCTTGGATGAAAAGAAACCTTTGTAGTAGGGGTGGGCCAAGAAGGGCCACTACCCATCCCAAATTTGGTTATAATTAACTTTGTTTGAAGAATTGAAGTGTAAAATCATTTTAATGTTCTTTTTATAATAAGTTGGCTTTCCCACCAAATATGATTTTTTTGGTCCAATGACCATGGCGCTGGGCTCATGATGTCGTCTCTGCAGTTGCAATTTGCTAAGTTTCAGTTGTCTGTTAGACTCAGTGATGGATTTAAGGGGGGCGCGGGGGGCGACCGCCCTCCTTAGACTTTCAAATTTTTCTACTATATATGTAATATTTTCATACTTTAATTAAATATATATGTTTTCGCCCCCCTTAACTTTTAGTTTTAAAAATTAATATATAGCATTACATAATGTAATACATAATTGGAGATTTAAAAATAGTAACATCTAAAATAATTTACTTAACTTAAATGGATAAAAAATAGCACAACTCATTGTTTAAGACACATGATACCTATTATATAAAGATTTCTAGCTTTGTAACATTTAATTGTCTTTATTAGATAATTAGTATTCGATTTTGTAAAATATCGAACAATATTAAATACCATACACACAAGTTAAAATTTTTTAGATCATGTGAAGTGAATCTAAAATATAAATGTTTGTTGACATTAAATTACGCAATTCATTTACTTATTACTTTCTAAAAACAATTTATTGCATAGATAATAAACTTGAACTTATTTTAGCATTAATACAAATACAATATGCACCATATATGTGAATAACAATACTATGTATTGTATTACTCTAAAAATAATAATATCACACATACTATTGTAATATTAAGAAAATTTTTCGTGACCCACGAACACCATACTTAGTAGACAAAAATTGCAATTCAAAAATCAATTCTTTATTTTAATAAGATCATATGGATAAACAAAGCAGAAGTTATTTAAAAAGACTTGGTTGATGTGTACTTCTTAAACTCTTTACCTTCAAATAATGTTCATTTGATTTGTCATTTCTTATGTTTTAATGTATCAATACTTTGTTTAGACCATTTAATATTATAAAATTAAAATTATTTTTCATTGTTTAAACTTAGAATGTACTCCCTCCGTCCCCCTAACTTTGTCTCGTTTTACCTTTTTCGTCTGTCCCATTAAGTTTGTCTCATACCATATTTGGTAATATTTGAGTGGTTAAAATTCATTCTTACTTTATTCATACTTTATCAATTCAATATCAACCACACAATTCTACTTTTTCTTAAAAACCACACCACACCCCTTTGTTCCAAACTTAGGGGGGACGGAGGTAGTAATATTCTTCTACCGATGGATTTAAATATCATCGTGTATGTACCGATGGATTTTTTTGAATGAAAATTAGCCACAGAGCTCTATGCTAGCGAAAAAATTCGCCCCACTACACAAGCGGAAAAAATTGCCACAATTTTTTCACCCCCTATACTAACGGCAAAAAATTCGCCCCCCTTGACTCGAAATCCTGGATCCGTCACTGGTTAGACACATGAGTCATGATTGATGTTTTTTTATGGAGCACGCATGGAAATATTTAGGATGCTTTTGTGGTTATTTAAGGTATGTTTGGATCCCCAAAATGCCAAGAGCAAGGAGAAAAAGGTACAAACGGGAGTTGTTTTCTTGTGTTTGGTGAGAGTATAATTTGTGTTGCATCAAATGATGAGCAAAAGCTCATATAAATGGTTAAATACACATCAATATATGCATGCACGTGTTATGTGTACAACCTCTTAATTGAATTGAAATATACTTGTCAGATTTGGATTGATTTAATCTGTTTAAGTCTGCCTTGATCTAAACTGGTCAGGCTTGAGTTGGAATATGTTTGATCTCTGTGTATTTTATAACTACAAAACTCTAGGTTGCTCTGGTCTGTTAAAAGGAAAGTTGGTCTATTTGTTAGAGCTTGTCTTTGAGGATTGGGTTACGTTCAGCCAAAACCCACAAGGATCCTCATAAATAGAGCCACAACACATCATATCAGTGTTGATGAGGAAGATTAAGTACTCCCTCCGTCCCTTATAACTTTGCCAACTTTCCTTTTTTGGATGTCCCACTAACTTTGCCACTTTCCCTTTTAAATAAAGAATTTGTGGTTCCATTTCATTCTCTCTTCTCTGCACAAACCTCAACCACACAGTTTTTACTTTATTATTTTCCGTGCTGGTCAAACATGGCAAAGTTATTAGGGACGGAGGGAGTAACTTCTAAGCTGAAGTACTCCGTTTTTGATAGGATTGGGGGGGGGGGGGGGGGGGGGGGGCAAGATCAAGACCCGCCATCTGTGACAGAATGGATCCGAAGCCAAAGAAGGTTACAAAGAAGACTTTACAAGACTGGGTTGGAACGAGCCCGATGATGATGAAGCACATTGAAGACCCGTGCATAGGACAAAACTTTGAAAGAAAATTTGTTCATGAAAGATTGGGATTGAAACATGAACGCAATAAATTTGTTAAAGTTCCTCTAGAAAAGCAAAGTGTTGATGAATATAGAAGTTTTATCCCATCTCGTATGAAACGAGAAATCGATGTGAAAGTAACCGATGGAAATGCACTTAAAGTCAAACAATTGACAATTGATGTCAGGGTACACACGTGTCAAATGAAATGTTGAAAGATTTAAACCACCAATGATGTTGTAAGTAGCTAAACTGCTTAAACATCTCACTTTGTCTATGAGTGAGCATAATCATAGATACTCTTGGCCCACGAGAGTTAAAAATGTGTACGGCAAGCTCTTGGCCCACGAGAGTTTAAAATGTGTACAACGAGCTCCTGGCCTGCACGAGTTAAAACTGTGTACGGTCCCTTCAAATTACCAATTCAAATGGTACACATGAACTACGTTTGATTTGATCTCCTTCTCAGGAGTACGTAGGCAACTCAAAAGTTTCATTTTTGAGTTCAGTTATAACAAAATAACCCCCAATTAAGTTGTTTTGTCAAAGAGAATATCACAAGAAGGCTTAAGGAAAAAGAGACAGATGAACGACAAAGGCTTTAGGGGATTCTTTGATCTCACCCTCATTGGAAGTGGATTGAGTTGAGCTTCAAACGACGTCTCCACAATACCACCACCATCTCAACAACGGAGCAGGTGGCGTCAAGGTAGTAGCATCGATGACACCTCTAAAGCTTTGAACAACACCGTCATCTTCTTCACAAAGACAAAGGGCAACATCATCGTTTGAAATCTGCAAGACCTCTTCAAGCTCCAACAGGACCGCTACAAGCTCCATCCAGACCGCTACAAGCTCCCGTCGGACAGCCACAAGCTCTCATCGGACCGCTACAAGCTCCCGCTGGACCTCTACAAGCTCCTTCCAAACCGCTACAAGCTCCTGTCAGACCGCTACAAGCTCCTGCCTGACCGCTACAAGCTCCTGCCGAACCGCTACAAGCTCCAGTCGAACCGCTTTAAGCTCTAGCAAAACCACTTCAAGCTCCATGAAATTTCCCTTCGCTGCATCAACAAAGCTCTAGGCAGCATCTGCACCGACAAAATAGCCAGTCTTGAAACTGACGAAGTGACCGGTCTTCGCACTGACAAAATAACCAGTCTTCAAACTGACGAAGTGGCAAGTCTTCACACCGACCGTCGTTAATCAACCTAGCTCCTTTCTCTTCAATGAATGACACCACTCTCAATTGTCCCGACAAGTGGAGAACTAATGCATTAAAGGCTTTAAGGAGCTATGATATGAGGGTTTGATTGTCCCTGCATTAAAAAAAAGAGAGAGGAAAAGAGGGGTGGGGCATTGTTTAAGAAAAAGGGAGTTTTTTTTTAAAAATGCTTAAAAAGGAATAAAAAAATTCCCTAGCATTTGAAATTGCCAAATTGGGACATCCTTGTTATTTTAAACAAAAATGATGTTTTTACACACTCTTATACACACTTTTGTACACACCTATGTCTGTGAAAGCTTTTTTTTGTCTGTAAACATCAATTCACAGACAAAAAAAGCTTCACAAACAAGTGTGTACATCGATCATGGTTGAATTTTAAAAAGCCCAAATCTAAATGCTCTCTCGTCATCTTCGCACGCACACACGCAGAGACAGGAGCAACGCAGCGGATCTGCTCCTCCATCTTCTTCAAACGAGAAAGGCAGAGTCCTAGCAGCGGCTCAGAGCAAAGGTCGCAACAGATCCCTCTCGCCGGAAATCAGCGCCGAGCTCGACGAAGCCTTCTCTCGCAAGACCGCTGCAGCCTCCTTGAAGTCTCTCTCCGCCGCACGAACAAAATCCGACCAGCATCTCCTCAGACCACCCACCTCCAGCGGCGACAGCAACGGAATTCCTCTCTCCAGGCTCGAGCGAACGGCTCCAGCAATGGAATCGGCCAGGTCTTCTTCTCCCAGGTGCGGCAAAAGGTCCCAACAACAAGGCAGATCCGGTAGAGAAAGATGGATTGATATATTGATCTTGATAAAACAATATGATATACATCTTAAATAGCCTCATCAAGACTTGATGATAAGACTCACTAATAAGTAATAACTATCAAGCTAACGTTTAGGAGTTAAACTAGGTACACAAACTGCATATGTAAATGGATATACATGACTAAACAATTGTACAAATATTATATTTAAATTATGTCGTAATACGTCCTCGCAAGATGGAGGTTCCGTCAGAAACTCCCAGCTTGGACCGAAACTGTTCAAACAAGGATCTGCTCAATGGTTTAGTGAGGACATCAGCAACTTGAAGCTTGGTAGAGATATGGCACACACGTAACTGCCCACTTGAAACAAGTTCTCGGACAAAGAAAAAATTCAGAGCGAGATGCTTCATCCTGGAATGAAATACCGGATTAACACATACATATGTGGTCCCTTGATTATCGCAGTATAGTGTAGGTGTAGTAGGAGATGCAACACCCAATTCACTAAGAATATTTCGGATCCAAAGTAGTTCAACACTAGTATTAGCAACTGCCCGATATTCCGCCTCAGTGGAGGAACGAGAGACACATTTCTGTTTGGCAGATTTCCAAGAAATGATATTTGGACCAAGATATATGGCATAGGCAGTAGTGGAACGACCATCATCATGAACTCCCCCCCAATCGGAGTCAGAGAAAGCTGTTAAACTGAGTCCGCCAGAGCGACGTAGAAATAATCCGTGATTAATTGTACCTTTAAGGTACCTCAGTACGCGTTTAACTGCCTGCCAGTGAGCTTCAGTAGGCCAGGTGAAAGTTTATTAACTGAAAACGAGATATCAGGTCTCGTAAAGGCTAGGTACTGGAGATGTCCAAGAGCCCTGCGATAGGGAGTGATATCACTCAGCGAAGATGCCTCCGTAACCTGGAAGGATGGATTAGTGCTCATTGGTGTGGTGGCCTCTTTAGCACCTAACATGGCATAGGTCTCCAGTATATTAAGAATGTACTGACGTTGCGAAAGAAAAAGACCAATGGAGGTGGGTATCACTTCAATCCCAAGAAAGTGATGTAGAGGGCCTAGATCTTTTACAGAAAATGTGGTTGTGAGCCTAGACACAAACATATCAATGTAGAGGGCTGAAGGTTTCCGAATAATCACGCCCAGGTTGGTGGAGAGCCACGAGCAACTAGACGAGCCTTAAACCGGGCAATACTCCCGTCTGCATTTCGTTTAATGCGAAATAGGCATTTTAGCATGTGATCGGCGTATGAGAGGTACGAGGAACAAGGTCCCATGTATGATGACGTTGGAGGGCATGAAATTCGTCATCCATAGCTCGTTTCCATTTAGTGCGGCTTTGACCGAATTAGGTTCAAGAGCAGGTGAAATGGGGTGCACTGCTGTATTATTCACAAAGGGACCACCTATGTATTTGGGGTTTGGCTTACGGGTTCGGGTTGGGCGGTTTGTGGGTGCATGGGATGATGTAGAGTCGTTGTTGAGCATAGACGGGGAAGGGGGCCGGGGTGTGGCGAGGTGATAAGGGTATTGGGCGGTGGGGAAATTAAATTGAGGTGGAGAGTTTGGCAGTGTGTCATTTTGGGATGAATTAGATGACACGTGGGTGGAAGGTGATAAAAGAGAGGGAGGAGTTAGTTGGGGATAAGCTGGGCCGGGTTGTTGGAGTGGAATGTGGAGCAGTGGTTTCGGTGTTTTGAAAAGAAGTGGGAGGAGGGGTGCCACGTATGCAGGGGAGAGAGTCTTGTCGACTAGATGCATGGCTTGCGGATGACACAAACCGTACATGGCAAGATACATATACTCGACCAGAGACAGGTTCAAGGCATAAGTAAGCTGATTGGGATGTGGAATACCCAACAAAAATACATTGCTGAGACCGAGGTTGAATTTTGTTGGAATTATACGGCCTTAACAAAGGGTAACAAGTGCACCCCAAGGGTTGCAATTTTGAGTAGTTTGGAAGAGTATGGTGTAACCGATAATAGGGACTGTCATTTTGGAGAGTGGGTGTAGGGAGCCGGTTGATAAGATAGACACTAGTTTGAAACGCATAGGACCAATATGTGAGTGGGAGACCCGAGAAATGAAGGAGAGCGAGACCCGTGTCAACAATGTGACGGTGTCGACGCTCCGCAAGGCCGTTATGTTCAGGGGTGAGGTAAAGTGGGAAATTCCATGAGAATTAAGGTATGACTCAAGTTTAATATATGCACCGCTGTTGTCAGAAAATATGGAAATTATGGGAAGATTATTTTTTTTTTCAACAAGACGGTGAAATTGTGGAAAAATGACAGACACATCAGATTTATTTTTGAGTGGATATAACCAAATGTAACGTGTGAAAAAGTCAACAAAAATTACATAATAGGAATATCCATCAACAGATTTTGTGCTTGTACTCCACACATCAGAATAAATAAGTTCTAATGGTTGTGGAGTACAAGCACAAAATCTGTTGATGGATATTCCTATTATGTAATTTTTGTTGACTTTTTCATACGTTACATTTGGTTATATCCACTCAAAAATAAATCTGATGTGTCTGTCATTTTTCCACAATTTCACGTCTTGTTGAAAAAAATTTTATTATAGGAACTTATAAGGGGCATGATATGGAGGAGGCAACGCACTCCACTGATACGGAGGAGAGGGAGGGTGAGATGGAGAATGCTGCGACAGTGGATGGTACTGGAATTGTGAAGGGTGCCAAGAGTTCGGTGGTAGAATGTTATTCCACCAAAATTGGATGGGTTGTGGGAAGAGTTTTGATGGAATGATTCGCGCGTTATTGTAGTGTAAGATTCCATCAAAATCCATTCAAATCCCCCCTAAACATTAGGGGGTGTATTCAATTGAGACATTTCGTGACATTTTAAGATTTGTATTCCTATGAGATTTTGGTGAATTTCCTTATACTGATATGGATTTGGATGGATTTGGTTGGATTTCCACAAAAGACATTTTCAGGGATTTCAACTTTTTCTTTCTTTTTCCCCTTTCCCTTTCTTGGAGGAGTAGCAGATTCGGTCGGAAGTGTGTTGCGCCTCCTCATGCGGTGGCTCTGAACCGCATTCGCTTCCTCTGTGATAGGAATGGTTGATGTCGACAGTTTGGGTCTTCTTTCTCTGGCCGAAATAATCGATGACAACCTAAGGGTTGTGGCCGCCGATATGTAGCAGATTCATGGCTTCATGGCTTCAAGATATGTATATGAACCCTTGAGCTGCGGTTTTGAGTTTCCGAACTCTTCTTCCGTCTTGGAGGTGAGAATCCGAGTGACGAGTCTAGCAAATCTCACGTATATACATGAGATTTGATAATAGGATTTGTAAGTGTATTTTTATTGTGAAGTCCTGCAAAATCCTAATCCAAAGAAGAATCCCAAGTTCTTTTCTGTTTTTAAATACATGAAGACTTTTCTAGACTCTCCAAATGTCTTAAAATGTTTCGATTGAATACATCCAGATTTTGAGAATCCGAAAATGTCTTAATATGTCTCAATTGAATACACCCCCCTAAGTGAAATCTATGGAATAGTTGAGGACACCTAGATTTGAGAGACTCCACAACAATCCAAGTTGACGACACCTAAATTTGGATGAAATTCTAAAGTCCATTAAAATCTTTTAAATTCCGTGTTCGGCACACCTCCTGAACTCTCGATAGATATCTCCTGATGGCTCGCAAGTGCATAACATGGCAGCTAGAGGTCAATATTTATACATACGGGTGGAGTAATTCAAGTGCTAGAAGGAAATTAAGAGAAGTCCTAATAGGATATCAAAACCAGCTGGATTCTTTGGTATATTAAAAAAAATCCTGATGTATGAATCCTAATGGAAGATGAAAGTCGAGACCCGATAAGATTTATTTTTAATGGAACCCGTGTCCCGCTATTGCTAGGGGATTAATTCGGTAGTTTCATGGATATTATTTTTGGGCTTAGTTCATCATACAAGGAGATATTTTAAGTAAAATGATTTAGATCCACACATAATCGAGAATTACTTTTCTCGTTTGATAAACGCTCAAGCAAATCTCGAGGGGGCATTTGTGGACATATAAAAATTATTGGGCCAATTACGGCAGTCATCGAGGTTTCTTAAATGCTATCGGACTATATTATATCTTATTGGGCCACTGTCAAAATCGGATTCTACTGGACTGCTCGTAATAGTTGTTGGGCTTTGTCAAAAGGAAAATATTAATATGGATCTATTCACATATAATTTAATTAATTCGGATCATTTGAATATCCAATTAATTTAATTCTTCGAAATGAATGAACTGATCCTATTAATTTCCCTATTTTGAGTCCATTATCAAGTAGCGGCCCAATATATAATAAGAAACATGATCCAATTGATAAAGAGGATAACGAATCTGGCTAAGAAATCTTTCCATATGCATAGAAAATAGCAATGAATCTTGTTAAAAAGGTTGTTCAGATACATTGCATAAATGCTGATTTTTCTAGCTATTAAAATGCAAGCAAAGAAAATGGAGTCAGAAGCCCATTTTAACTAAGGCCCAAGAGGTATGGACGAATTTCTGCAACCCTAGGCCATATTTTATCCCCTCCAAACCTATACATCCAAACCTATAAATAGGGGTGACCAAAATGTACAAGGAAGGCGACACTGCTCATCCTGATACATAGATGGCTAAAACCGAAAATACAGTGATATCCCCTCCCTCTATATTTGCTCCAAATGGTTATAAAAGAATACTTTTAAATTGTGACTTGACCAGATCCTACAATTGCGTAGTACAGAGTAACTTTCTATCTGCAAAAATCAATTGCAGGATGAGCAACATGCAATCAAATTGTTGTTGTGGGTTTGTGAGTCTATCATCAATTCAAATACTAATGAATATTATGTATTACTCCCTCCGCCCCCTATAATTGTCTCATTTTCCATTTTTGGATGTCCCCTTATTATTGTTTCATACCGTATTTGGTAACATTTGTGTGGCTCTAATTCATTCTTACTTTATTCTCACTTTACCAATTCATTATCAACCACATAATTCTACTTTTCTTAAAAACTACACCACTCTCTAACATGCAGAACACCTAAAGGAGTCTAAACTATCAAGTATGAATTATCTTCTATATGCTAAAAAGAAACT